TAACCCACTCCACTATTACTTGATGAGACTAGTTAACTGAGGTAAGACAAAAGGGCGAAGCTGAGATCAGAGAGCCTGGGAAAGGCTCCTAGGACACTTGGTAGGCATTTACTTAGTATATGTTCAATGAAAGAATATGTTGCTTTTGCACCAGCCGTTGGATTCTCTATGAGGATGATAGTCTAACGCTTAGAACTTTATTATTATTTTTAGTCCTTTACCTGCCTCCCCATGCTAAGCATTCAAGTAAGAATATACACCATCCTTTCGCAGGAGAAGGAAAAGATCAGATATAATAAAGATATGAGGGTGGGCAAACCCAGGACCACCCTGGATTATAGGGGATGTAAGAAGATGGGGCTTGGAGCTATTGCTGTCATAAACATAGTAAGAAACTATACATCCTTGAGACTGGCCTTATGAACTGCCATTTTTACAATACAGGAATGGGGAAAGCCAGTGCTGGAACTGAGCATCCAAGGCTGCCTTCACTTTGCTTGATGAAAACCAAGTCGCTGCTCAGCGGCTTAGCAAACAGCATCTATCTTCATTCAAACCAGAAGGTGGTCAGGCAACCATACACCAAGGAGCTCATGTGTGACCAGGGTTGAGAAAGGTATATTTGGTCAGGGAAATGAATCAACTTTTCAGTGCGAGGGAGAAGACCTGCTGCTGCTTTCCTCAAATCAAGTTTTCACAGAGGATTCTGGAAAATGTCATAACAGTTTCCTGGCTCTTTTGATTGGCTTGCCAGAGACATGACAAAAAGACACTGAACTTATTCTTATGATAAATTGAGGTGGACCCATTGTTTATGAAGCACATAGGCAAAATACTGGCCTAAGTGCTGTCAGATGTGGGAGGGAAGAAAAATAATTGGAAGTCAGACCTGGAGATTCAATGCGCCACAAGAGAAAGTAGGGAAGCAAGGCAATAAGCAGATGCTGTGTTACCAGGCACTTATGAGAGAAGAATTCACTTTTTAGAATTTGAAGGAGGAAGGAATAGTGGAGGAGCTCAAGGGAGGCTTTAAGATTTAAAGTTAGAATTAGACATCGGACGGTAGGGTGGGAAAATCTTCTGGGCTAAAGTGTGATCTCACAAGTCTAAGAATTGTCTTTTTTTTTCCTCCCTATTTTTTCAGACCCTTCTGACTCCTAGTTGACAAGTCTAGTGTAAAGGAGAGAGGTGGGTAGGGACTGACTTTGGCATTGCCTGGTGGTGTAGGGGTTATGAGTTGGGCTGTGATCCACAAGGTTGGCAGTTTGAAACCACCAGCAGCTCTGACGGAGCAAGCCTGGGCTTCCTATTCCCCTAAACAGTTAACCGTCTCAGAAACCCACAGGGATGTCGCTATGACTCAACGCTGACGGGATGGGCAGTGAGTTTGGTTTGGGTTTGGTAGTGGTCATCACCCCTTGCTGGTCTCTGCAGATGTGGAAACTTTGACAAGAAGCAAGGAGTGTCCTGCTATAGACCTGCTGGGCAGGTGAGCTATGCCGTTAAGGTCTGGAGCACAAGAGTCTAAGGGCTCTGCATATGTTCTTCAAAACATCCTGTGGCTTCCTAGAAGCAGAAATCTGGAACTAGAAACCAGAGATTTACAGCCTTTGGCATCTCCATCGCCTCCCGAGTGTGATCTGAGGGCACTTCGGTTCACTTAAGTTCTCTGGCAACGTTCCCAATGTCTGGAGATGCCTAGGCCTTTTCCTTCCCTTTCCTTGGATTTTTTTCCACCGAGTTTGCCACCAGCAGTTGCTACTCCTTCCTGCCCTTCCTGATCCCAAGGTTTCTGACTCTTATCCCTGACACTTTTGGAAACTTTCTGAGCAAGTGGAGAACAACTTAAAATTTTTTTAATTTGTTTAGACCAATGGAAATTTTGTGCGACCTGGAGGAAAGAATAGAGTACTACCATGATCCCACTGCATTCTATACAACAAGGCTGTGTCCACGTTGGCACACAGCTCTACTTAACCTTGCTTTGCAGATGTGGGTACAATGGATTCTGTTTGAATGCGAAATCGTGTGTAAGAAATGCTTTCTTGCAAAACCCTGTCCATTTAGCAGTTACTTTCAAAAGATGTACTTCAGCAGTTTCCCTTACACATGGATATCATGCTTCAACTTTTTTAATGAAATTTTAATTTTAGATTTATAGAAAAGGTGTGAAGCTAGTGCAGAAAGTGCCCATATACTCCACGCCATTTCTCTGAGGAATAACATCTTACCCACATTGGTGCTATACATTTACTGAAACTCCTTGAGGGTCTTCCTCTTTATCGCGGACCAAGCATGACCTCCTCCTCCAGGGTCTCTTGATGACAAACACATCCAAGTACTGTTGTTGGGTGCCGTGGAGTCTGCTCCTCTTCATGGAAACCCTGTGTACAACAGAAAGAAGCACCACCCAGTTCTCTGCCACCCTCACGATTGTCCTTATGCTGGAGCCCATTGCTGCAGCCACTGTCCGTCCGTCCGTCTTGTCGAGAGCTTTCCTGTTGTCCACTGCTCCTCCACTTTCCCAAGCAGGATGTCCTTCTGAGGACATGTTCCAAGGAAGACAAAATCTTGCCATCCTTACTTCCAATGAACCTCTGTCTGTCCTTCTTCCAAAATAGATTTGCTTTATTATCTGGTAGTTTATGGTACGTTTAATATTCTTTGCCACCCCATAATTCAGATGCATCAATTTTTCCTTGATGGTAAAGAAGTACCAACATTAATGAAGTTAATTTCATCATGTTTTTCTTTTGAACTAGTGCTCATGGCTTACCAGAGCACAATGTCAAATGGTGTCCAAAAACTGATGATTTTCAAACCGTATGGCAAATTATTTTGTTGAGTATTATATGTCATCAACAATAAGTCATATGAACTTGATTTCTTGGTTTATAGGGGATGTAAGAAAATGGGCTGCCACAAACAGAGTAAGAAACTATATATTCCTGAGATTCTGCCATGTTTACAATACATGGTCGTACATGTTACCCACTTCTTGAAGTACTGTGATTTATTATATCTGTGGTCTCCATATCAGTTATGGAAGTCAATTATTTTTTTCCTGTTTTTTAAAAATCATTTTACTGGGGGCTCATACAGCTCTTATCACAATCCATCCATCCATCCATCCATCCATCCATCCATCCATCCATCCATCCATTGTGTCAAGCACATTTGTATATTGTTGCCATCATCATTTTAAAAACAATTTCTTTCTACTTGAGCCTTTGATATCAGTTCCTCATTTTTCCCCCAACCCCCTTACCTCCCTACCTCCCTCATGAACCCTTGATAATTTATAAATTATTATTAGTGGGTGAAGGGAGACAGTAGGTCAGTGGAAATCAATTGTTTTATAATCTCCTTTTAGCTTTGAAACCAGTCATGAGCAAGGACTGTTTAAAAGATAGCAGAAGGACATAGCCTTTTGAACTCCATGTCAAATATTAAGAAGAACATTTTAGTATATTCTAATAGAATTTTTTAACTTGATAAATTCAGACATTCTTGCAACGGGTAAAACATGTCATTTTGTATTACAGTTACTCTGGGCATTTAAGATATATAAAACCAGTTTCAACAATAGGCTTCTGTTTTAATGATGAATTAGCAACAATGTAATGACTATAATGTTCATCATCTATTCTATTCCACCAGCTGTACATCTCCACCCACCCAGTAGCACTGCTCATTTCCATTGTTGCCACCACTGCGCACTTCCATTGTGTGGTTCTTGCTCGGTCACTATTGGATGGATGGTTGTTTTTCGGTGCCATCGAGTTGGTTCTGGCTTATAGCAGCCCTGTGTACAACAGAAGGAAACACTGCCTGCCCCTGCACCATCCTCGTAATTGTTTGAGCCCACCTATGCGGCCACTGTGCCAATCTACCTTGTCAAATACTTGACCTTGTCAAACACTGCCCTAATACTTGACCTTCTCCACCGACTGGACTCTCCTGATAACATGTCAAATTCTGATGCTGCATGCCTTTTCAGGTAATCCAGCTTCTCTGATTATTTGCTCAGCATTCTATAAATATGGTGAGAGGACACTGTCCTGATGCACACAACAGGGCAAATATTAAAACAATGATCTGTAATAGAAACCAAGGTTGACTCCACAGAGGGCATCCTTGAATTCTTCGCTGTAATAAGTATAATTATAAATACAAGCATGAACAAATTATTAAAAATCAGTTTTATTACAAATGCAAGGCCAAACTCACTGCCATTGAATTAATTGTGACCCCTACCACCCCTACAGGACAGGGGAGAACTGCCCTGTGAGTTTCCCAGACTGTCACTCTATGGGAGTAGAAAGCCCCGTTTGGTGGTTTCAAACTCCTGATCTTAGGGACTGCAGCCCAATTCCTAACCACTTTGCCACCAAACTAACAAATAAAACAAAACACAGCACAACAAACAACCTTCCCCCGCCCCACTGCCAAGGAGCCAGGCAATTTCCACTTGTAGCAACTCTGCTATGGAGATGATACATCTTAAACAGGAGCAGAGGGCTTCATGTTCCCAGAGCGGCTGGTGGACTTGACCTGCCAACGTTGGGACTTTCTCTCTCAGAGCAGCTGGTGGACTTGATGTGGCATCATTGGGACTAGCCCCGCAAAGCCTAACCCTCAGCTTAAAAAAATAAAATAAAATAAATAAAATAACCAACTTGCAACCAAGAAAAAATTTTATAAGGAAAAAAAAGTATTTCTGTCATAGAGGGGTGAAGGGGAGACAGACTAAGACAGGGACAGACAGACTTGGGAACACATGTTGCTTTAGAATGGGGAAAAAAAAGTTACAACTCTGGGGAAGACAGTGTAGCTTTAGGGAAATGAGCTGCTAGACTCAGCCAATCTGCCCTTTCTAGCCACTGAAAAAGAAATAGGATTTGAGGTTCCTTTTGAAATGGGGCCGGCTAATGTAGCCCCTCCCACGAGCCAAGGGTCTGTTATAGCTCAGTTCCTTGAGTACCTCTCTCCGAGACCGACCACAGCCGGCGAAGGCTGACAATAAATACACACATACACACACGGGCACAGAAGGAAACAAACGCTGCCGCTCATGGAAGAGAGCAGGGGTAAGAGGCCACTTGATTTGATCTGAATCCTTAAGCACAAATGAGAGGGAGAGGGAGGGAGCAAAGAGCGTAAAAACCCTGAATGAACTTCCCCACCCTCTGCCTTCTGAGAGGAGGTAAAGAAAGAACTTTGGGCAACGTGTTAGGGAGCAAAGCCTGGGTTTTGTTTTGTTAAAGGAGGCTCTTGAGCAAGTTAGAGGGCTCATGAATATTCAAAAGCGATTTGTATTCAGCGCTGCACTAGGTGTTTTTGAGAGGCAATCGACTTCTGCAGTCTCCTTGTAGCTTAAGGTACAGTCCGGAGTCGGTGTTTCCTTCACGATGCTGGGTCTCTGCAAAGATTGGTTTTGTTCTGGAGTTTCCTGTGTGCTTCCCTGTGCGGAAATTAGCGGAGACCTAGACGTTACTGTGGCAAGAGGTTGTCACAACAGGACCTGAAAGTTGCGTGCCTTGCAAAGGGTGGAAAGCTTCTTGGTATGTGTCAGGGGACTCGTGTGTGTGTGTGTGTGTGTGTGTGTGTGTGTGTGTGTGTGTGTGTGATTGATGTTAAAGAGGGAGGAGGAAGATACAACAGCACTAACAGCAGCAAAGCCCCATTGCAACCCCATAGGAAGTCCAGGGCTGTAAGTCCTTCTGGAAGTACCTGCTACCCCCTTCTCCTGCAAAACAGCTTATGAATCTTTCGGTGAGCCGTTGAGCCGCTTAACTACTGCACCACCATGGTTTCTGGGAGGAAAAACTGATCTATGATCTTTGACTGACTACATGTAGATTTTTGCCTGAAAACTGCAAGAGCCGCCTGGTCTACTCAGATGCTATGCAGAGCCAGTCTTTTACCTCTTTTGGGCATTTTCAGCCAGGAGGGACGAGCCAACTGCTTGGCAGCGTGTGGAAGCCAGGAAGAATCTCAGCAGTCCTGTGGTGTGGTGGGAACCCAGGAGGCAGGCACTCCTCGGGCGTATCGTATCGGGTCCCAGAGCTGCTGCTTCATCCTCTCCAGCTTCTCATATCTCTAGAAGAGAGAATGAGTAGCCAACATTCTTTTTCAAAGTTGTAATGATGACAACACTTAACGTTTACTAAGCCTTTCCTCTGTACTGGGTTGTGTTCTAAGTATGCCAAACATGGTCTTTATTCCTCACGTGAATCATATGTTGTACAGTTGAAGTACTCCCTTTGGATTGTACAGTTAGTGCAAGGTGAATTTGCTTTCTGCTACTGTCCACTGCTGCTCAGCTCTGCAGGCTTCCCTCTCTCGAGCCTGCTGATTCTGATTTTGTAAATTCTTAAAGTTACTGGGGAAATGACAGTGATAAAATCTCAAGTTTGTGGAGGCATTTGTACTTTAACATAATTCTGTGGGCGTGTTGTTTTCTTCCTCATTTTGTGTTTGTGCAATTTTTTTGTAGCAGCAAAGCCAATAGTATTACGGTTCCCTCTTTCAAACGGATGCCAGGATGGGTTAGGTGACATGGATCCCACAGCTAATAATGGAAAGTTTAGTCTAGATCAGAAATCCTCTGCCTTTGGTTTCGTCTTCTGTCCAGACAGCTCTCACCTTCCATCCAACCACCAGGGACCTCGCTGAAACCACTTTTAATTTTCCCAGGTGTCCTTTCTGTGCCTCACTCTCAGACTGCTGTTCCCAGGTGCTTTCCTCAGCATTGAGGGTCTGTCCAATCCTCTCCTTCCCTTAAGGTGAAGTCACAATGCCCACTCAGAATTCCAGCTTCACTGTTTACCCACTAGGTGCCTCAGTTTCCTCAGCTATAAAATGAAGATAATAATGTTTGCTGCCTGTTCTTAGAACAGGACCTGACATGTGCTTTGTGCTGAATAAATGTTAGCTGTCAGGATCAGATCACTCTTCAAGTTGCATCTTGGTTTTCACTCTGCCTGTTGGGGCGCTCCAATTCCTGGAGCCCAGGCTTGGTCCCTCACCTCTCATGCCCACAATGGCGCGCCTCACCCTGGTTCCCATTACCAGCTTTCTTGTCCACACTCCTGTCCTCTGTATGACTCCTCTTCTCCACATCCCAGCCTAAGGTTTCTTACTCACCTTCGGACTTGCAGTCCTAGTGCCTTGTCTGGCACTTACAGGGCAGTCAACAAATATGTAGTAAGTTAAGTACCCCTCCATGTGTGCCTTGGGAGAAAGGTGAGGCTATCTGCTCCTATAAAGATTTAGAAAGCCTTGAAATCTTATATAAGGTTGCCATGAGTTGAAATTGATTTGAGGGCAATGGTTTTGCTATTTTTGAAATTAAGTATTGGTTTATCCAAGAGCCAGGAGCCTGGTTTGAGAAGAAGATTTTGGATGAGGGCTCCGCCTTAGACCATCTATAAAGTCATTGCAGCTAAGTGGGTATACCTTCTAGGTGGACGATCCCTTGAGCAAATGTGACCCCTGCCAGGTCACTCACTTGGTGTGATTCTAGCATTGTTCCCCACTCGACCAGGAGCTAAACTGTACAACCTTGAACATTTCAGTTTACAGCTCAATATCTAGTTATCTGGTCCTATTACTAGTGTCTCCTTAGCCCTATTTTATAGCAACCTTGATGTCTGACATGGCGTACTCTGGTAGTGAAGAGAAACAGTGCAGAGGGTGGTTCTGGCTAAAATCATGAAGTACATTAAGTTTATTTCCAGCACCCTCCCTTTCCTCTTCCTGGCCTGTCTTCAAGCCAACTTGACAAATATTGTGCATTGCCATTTGTAAGCCCCTGTCTCAGATGCTTGGGATATAAACAGTTTGCTCACAGTCTAGTGGAAAGACAGATGTATACACAGTCAAATCTAATTTAAGCCAGGCATGGTGAAGTACTGATAATAATAACTAACATTAATTATTTTATTTTGTGTTAGGCACAAAATGTTTTATATTCATTGTCTCGCACAGTCTTTATAACAGTCTATGATACAGGTCCTTGTATCTTACAACTGTAGAAAGTGGTCTCTTGGCCAAGATCACACAGCTCCCAGAGGAAGCATTTGGACCTGCAGCACAGAAAGTTAACCCGCAGAGCTGTTGACCTACAGGTTGGAAGTTGGAATCCATTCAAATGTGCCTTAGAAGAAAGACCTGATGATCGATTTCTGAAAAACCGTGCGCACATGAGGACATATCATGAGTCAGAATTGACTTGATGGGGGTATCTAATTAACCTGCGAAACCTGGGATCCAAACTATGTCAGCCTACTTCCCTAAAAGCCATACTAGGACTCTAAAGAAAGCACCAGGGCGAACCGCGTAAGGAGTGCTAACTTCTGGGAACACTTCTCGAAGGATGGAACACTGCAGTTGCCCCTAGAAAGATGGGTAGATTCTGGTGCCCATGACAAGTACCCGTCCTTGCCCAATGGTGCTTAAGGACATTTTCTTTCTTTTTTAAAACCAAAACTACGTAACAATTTAGAGTGAAAAGATCCTTCCTTTCCCCCACAAGTTCTAGCAGACTTTTTTCATGCTCATCCTAGAGTTTTAGAGACTGAATCCAAAGTTTAGCTTTGACTATGAGTTTAGGATTGCCAATCATGTCTCTAAACAAACCATTCGAAGTAATTGGCTACACATGAAATATTTCCCTAACTCATGATTGTCCTGCATGATAACTAGACACACATGTTAAAACATTTAGACATGTCTGTGTTTGGTGTTACTTTTACTTGCCAAACCACATGTTGGGAGTGCTTCCTCTCTCGGGTCCTGGTTTCCTTGGTGCTCCAGTCTCTGTAGCCAGTGACTCTGCTCAAGGCCATTGCCCCCACCTCCTACGCTGTGGGAGGTACCAGGCTCAGCCTGTGTAGACCAAGATGAGCCCTAGGCAAATGACATTGAGCTTGCTCTTCTGAAGCCTCTTTCTTTGCAAGATTTTGGTGCGAGTGATATCAAGGGCAGCTTTTTTAAAAAAAAAATAATTTTATTGGGGGCTCGTACAACTCTTATCATAATCCATCCATACATCCATTGGTGTCAAGCACTTTTGTACATTTGTTTCCCTCATCATTCTCAAAACAGTTGCTTTCTACTTGAGTCCTTGGTATCAGCTCCTCATTTTTTTCCCTTCCCTCCCCGTTCCCCTCTTCCCTATGAACCCTTGATAATTTATAAATTATTATTATTTTGTCACATCTTACACCATTTGATGTCACCTCAAGGGTTTAATGGAAGTGAGGAGGGGAGGAGGCACAGATTGATGTGTCTGTGTTTGTCCTAAGGAAGTACTTCTCTAAACTTTAATGTGCGTGCACATCACCGGGAATGTTCTTAAAATGCAGATTCCGCTCACATAGCCCAGGCATGGGGCCTGCAATTCTGCATTCCTAATAAGCTCCCAGGTGTTGATGCTGCAGCCATTCTGCAGGTCCCACTGTGAATAGCAGTGTTCTAGGGTTACTGCCTCCCTTAAACTCAGGAATTATTTTGGTACCAATTAGCCAAGTCCTCTCTCCCCTGCTTCTCCTGCAAACCACCACTTTGATTCACTGATCAGCTGTGTTATGGCAGGATGATGAGAAATCTAGCTCATTTATTCATGCAAGAAAAATATATTCTAAAATAGCTGGGGCCCCCAGTTTGCCATATCCTAGCAACAAGTATGAATCTTCATCACACACAAACTGATTTTATCATCACACACAAGCCCTGTGCTGGATCTCTTAAATATCTCCCCAGCTCTGGTTTTCTCTCTATCCCCTGTCTCCAACCAGAGAAGTACTTGAACAGAGAATATGTGCCTTTCTGACTCCCTGTTGGATGTTGGAGTGCTAGGATGCTGCTGGCAGAAGGGATTAGGCTCTGAGATTAAGAGCCTGTGCCTGGGCCCTTGTCTCCAGCCAGCAGAAGTGAGGTGGGAAGGATACTAGGCATACAGAGGGCAGTGCCTACAGAGGGACCGATGAGATTCCTTTGGACTTGGACACTTAATGGGATTGTGAAGAGATACGAGGTTGCTGCCTCCCAGAAAAGTCCGTTTGCATGCAAGAATGTCAAAGTG